TGCTGAACCTGCTCAAATTCAGCACCAGCTTTCCTGTACCAGGGACCTAGAACTGAACGCAGTACCTCAGTGTGATGCAATGAGTGCTGAATAATCGGGGAGGATAATCACTTGCCTCCATCTGCTGGCTATGTGCCTGGTGATACCGTCCAGGATGCTGCTGGCCAACTTCGCTGCCAGGCCAGTTCTGTCTGCCAGCACCTCAGGGCCCTTCCAGCCCTGCAAAGCTGCTCCCCCAAGCCCCGCCGTCCTCAGCCAGAATCCCTGCTGTCAGGGGCTCTTCCTTCCCAGGTGCAAGACTTGGCATTTGTCCCTGGCAAAGACTTTCAGGTTCTTGACAGACCATTACCTCCCTTTCTAGGAATCCCTGACTACCAGCCCTTCCCTCAAGCGTATCACCTGCTCTTCCCTATCCCCAGTGTGGTGTCACCTGCAAACATGAGGAGAGGGCTACACTGCCTGCTCCAGGTCTCCGTAGAGATCCCTGGGGGACTTCACAGGCAGCACGAACCCTTACAACATGCAATTAGTTTTTATTCACCTAGCTGTCCCCTAAACCAGATCAATTCCAACTCCTTGGTCTAGTGGGCCTGCCAAAGATGCTAATGCTGGCACAAAAGAGAAAAACAGGTTAAGAGTCCTAAACTGGGAAAACACAATGGGAATAACCAAAAATCATTCCTTTCAACAGCAGCACAGACTGATGGTAATTAAATCAGCAGTGTAACCAAAGATGGAGGTGTATTAACTTCCTACCTCTTAAACTTAATTGCTTCCAATTTTGAAACCATACTTCAGCTTAGCTGCATCCGGCTTACGCAAGCTTAGAGAGATTTACATCACTACCACAACTTGTGGAGTTAGAGCAGTTGCACTACCTTTGTTAAAATACCTTTAAAAGGATATTAGATCAGTGTAAATTTTGGTTCAAAGAATGCCACTAAGCCTTGCTTTCGGAGAAGTTTCTAAACTTCTTCCTTTCCTGTGCACCATTTTTTTCTATACTCAGCCTAAAAACTCCATCATAGGTATTGCCAATGTATTTTAAAACATAGATAAAAGGCAGAGAACGCTGAGCAGCAGCAAGTTAACCGCACACATCAAAGGGAAGATGGCTGTGCTAAGTCTCTTCAGCTTAGCTGGCTGTGGTGAAAACATCAAGTGTGCATTTGGCAGTTAGATGCTACAGCAGCGAGAATTACAAATACAGATTTTGGGGGGGAGGGAGTATATCTATTTACTGCCAAAATGAGTACAAAAGATAAACATTACGTCTAGCCAACTGAACAACTCTATTCAGATTGTGAATGAAGAGCTAGCTGTCTTAGCGTGTGCCTTGCCACGTACCGCACTGTACTAACTCGGTTGTGATACTTAACCCCCCAATGCTGTAGTTCACCAGTTTAATCAACTTTGCGCTAGACTATGCATAGTTATATTGTCAATTTGACTGAGAAAGTGTTTATGGAAGCTGAATTAATTAGCTTTACTTACACCACGTCTGTTAGTACAATGTTCAGATGGCTTAGAATATATAACATCAATTTGATATTTGCTGGTACTGTCAGATAGGATTAGAAAGCTGAAGCACAACATGTATGGATTATGACTCATTTAGACAGCACATTACTATCTGAAGTGTGAATATGTGCAATCTGCAAGTAGAAAAAAAGGCCGATCAGTTGTGTTTACAAGGAAAAGGTGTATTTTCAATTCCTATTGGATAGCACGGATACACGCATGGTCTCTTAAGGGGTTATCCAGTTTTCTTAGTCAATTTTCCAGGTGATTCTCCCACAATACTT